GACGACGGTAGTTTACACTTAAAATTATTTGTTGTCAGGACTTTATCCATCGTCTGTTTTTAAAATTCACGATGTTTCGGAGGCTGGTTCTGTCTCCATCTTCAGGTAAGAGGTACCTACTCCAGTGACAGAGACTTGCTCTTTCTAAGGGACCCAACAGAGTAGGTATCTCTCACCTGAAGACGGAGACAGAACCAGCCTTCAAAACGTTGTGAATTTTAAAAACGGACGATGGAAAAAGTCCTGACAATAAATAATTTTAAAGGGTAAGTGGGTTGATCATTTTTAAGAATTTCACTTTTATCTGTTTTAGGCATATCTTCCAGCATTTTGGCTGGTTTACAGATTTCAAGAAGGGTTTGTGAATGATAAAATAACTATGGATAATATTTTTGTGATTAAAACCATATGATACATACAAATTAAAAGAGACCATATTTAGCAGTGTTTAGAGGATTAGGAAAAGGCCTTTATTCAATTGATAGAAAGTCTTATGGTTTAAACTGAGCCAGAAAGGAGTATGTGATAATATGGCTGAGCATATTAAGAAAATGCAAATGATAAATTTTGTGTAAAGTGTGGGAGTGGTAAGGCAAGAGAAGTACATGTGAAATTTTAGTCAAAAACACCTCTAGAAGAGACCAATTAGGTTAGATGGAAGGATAACATTAAAATAATCTGATAGATACAAGGTATGGTCTGGATTCAAATAACTCAGGTTAGTGTCCAAAGATGAGCACTTGTGCATATGATAATGTACATTTGGGTTTGATACCAGTATTAGAATTTTTTCCCATGTGGTTAGACTCACATCTATAGAAGACTAAGTAAATATTAAGCAGGCAGATGATATTAACCTTGAGTAAGCTGATGAGATAGTTACGCAGGAAATCTCGTAGTCTCTTGTACAGTTCCAGACCTACAAGCTGTGCACCACCAGACACTTGACCCTTCTTCGATTTGGTAGATGTGCTGCGATTTATTTGTTGATGTACACTTGTACAATAGTTGTAGACATGCCTGGAAGAGCTCATTAAGGAAACACATCAAATTATCACACAAATGTTTTCTAATAGTATGTCGATAAAATGAGGAAAACATTTGTACCTCAAAGAGATATATGCAAATAAGGGAATGAAACAAACCATATGAGAAATACAAATTTTACTCTTCTCTTCCTCTTCAAATAAGCAACCCTTTCCCATCATATGAGTACAAAATTAATATTCTTCCTCCTATAGAATAACAATGAACATACTCTTATCATTCATGTGTAATCTGTAAGACAAGCATACAACTGCTTAATAATGCTAAGATCAGCCAGCTATCCTTAGAATGGGCTGTTCTAAATCAAAAGCTGAAGTGTCTGAAGGTTTTACTTAAGTTTTCAAAAGCACCACAAATATGGAGGTGTCCAACAGTAAAGGAAACCAATGAAATACTTAAACAGAATTAAATCATAGGGGCTGCTGGGATACTGTGGGCATACTAAATGCATAAGCCAACTAATGAATACAAACTCTGTCAGGGCCAACTTACTGTAACCTCAATTACAAATGTTCATATCAAAGAGAGTTTATGAAAAAGTTAAATAATATGTACTGGGTCAAGACAAAGTCTAATAATGTACTCTGATGAACATTCTGGTTCTATGAAATGACATTCCTTTAATATACGCAGTCACTAAGACAAAACATAAATCATAAAAGGCATTACATGTAAGAAGGTAAGACTCACATACAAAGATTTTTTGAAGGTTTCACTGACTCTTCCGGTATTACATCCAGAGCTGTGGAGTTGTAGTCAGAAGCAATTTTACACTTTTACTGACTCCGACTCTGACCTAGATATAAAACCTGAAGAAAATACTGTTTTAACACTTCCGCTACCATGTGAGCCGCCAGCAACCTAATGCTTAGGGAGATTTAATGATGTGTTGAACCACATGGTGTGGGAATAATGCTTTGTAACTTTGGCAAATCAATCAATTTCTGCAATAATCATTAGACTTATATTTAAATATAGGTTATAAGTCTAAAAGTAGCCTGATGATTCACGTGGTGGTGATGCAATCTCTTATGGTACCATTTACCATTTTAGTAGGTTTACCATTATTAATACATATTGAGCTTTCATGAAGATGAAGGAGTCAGAGATTTTAGTGCCGGCTCCACAGCCCTGATTACGTCATTCATTCTACATTTTTAAACATGGTGAATACAAACTGAAACAATGTTCAAACCATTCAAACAGCAATATAATCTATGATTTATTTGCAAACTATGACACCAACAAATACGACTATTTATTTTATTAAATGCCTTACATTTACAGTTACTTTTGGACATGTTCAAGGGATCCACAATATCTACTGAAATTATCAGACATTTTAAATAAGATTTTTATGATAAAATCATTAATATCTTAAAGCTCATGAAACTGAATTTAGAAGGAATAGCCATACAATAGGAAGAAAAAAGCATGTCTACAGAGCTTTAAGATATTAATGATTTTATTATATTATTGTGACTGACAACATGAAACTGGATTTAGAAGGAATGGCCATACAATAGGAAGAACAAAGGATGTATATAGTTGTCATTCACTAATGAAGTTAAATTCCTTATACATTATGTCATTTTTGTAAAACATTATTTATGTTCAAATTTCTGTCTCCCCATTGTCACTTTCCATATATGATGTTTTTCAGAACCAATCCTCCATATCCTGGGCAGTGATTCAAGGGGTAATTCAGAGTAAAAATGTCTACATAACACTGGTCCTACTTTCCGACTGCAACTACTGCAACTACTACTACTACTACTACTACTACTACTGCAATTTGGATTTAGAAACAAATATCTCAACAGAAAAGGCTCTATTTAGTTTCACTAATGAAATTGTATGTGCCCTTAACAATAAAATGCATGTGGGTGGAATATCTTGTGACCTAGCCAAGGCATTTGATTGTGTAAACCATGAAATATTACTA